ACTACAAAGAGAAGTTCATATTAGGTTCACTAAAAAGATTATTAAGACACAGATACTGCAGGTGGCAAGAGAGAAAACTTTAAAGTACAAAGATAAAGAAATAGTGGTGCTGAAACAAGTACCAAGAAGAGTAAGAGAGATGAGAAGAGAATATTTATTTTTGACCAAAGAGTTACTTAAAAGAGGAGTAAATTACAGATGGCTAATGCCAGAAGGCCTCTTGTTCACCTGGCAGGAACAAAGACACAGACCTGACACAGTTGAAAAAGCTAAGCTATTTTACTTAGAATATTTCAGAGGAAAGGAGGAAGAAGCTAGAAAGGAAGAGTCACTAATTGAATTCCAAGAGGAGTGTATAGCAGTAATGGAAAAAGAGAAAGAAGAAGGTGCAGTAGGTGGTGTACCCAGAGAGCAGCGAGAATTAAGACCTACTAGAGCAATAAAAACCCCTCACAAAGCTTAACATGGATGAAAGAAAATTGATTACGATTAACATAAATGGACTTAACTTAGCTACTAAAAGAAGGAAAGTATTTCATAAACTAGAGAAATTAAAATTTGATATAATTTGCTTACAAGAAGTACATATTAAAAAACATGAATATATACTGAAACAAAAAAACATTTAGGAAAATTATTTGCATCGCTGGCACAATCTAAAAAAAGAGGTGTGGTTTTATATATTAAAGACACAATTTTGGCAGAATTAATTTACACAGATGACAATGGAAGGATTTTGATGGTGGAAATAATGGACAATAATGTTAAAACACTTTTAATTGCAATTTATGCTCCGAATGATAATCAAGAAGAATTTTACAGGAAATTACATATGAAAATAATTGAACTGGACTATGCTAATATTTGTATGATGGGAGATCTTAATGGAATAGTTAATGATCGGTTGGACTACAAAACGCAGAAATCAACAAAAAAAGCTAGAAAGATATTACCAAAATCTTTCTTTTGAATAACAGAAGAATTCAACTTAAAAGATGCATGGAGAGAGAGAAATGTGGAAAGTAAGCAATACACTTTTTACTCAAACAGACATGCTTCATGGTCTAGAATGGACGTGATATGGATGTCAGCAGAATTACTGGCTAACATATGAGAGATTGAAATAGAAAGAAGCACTTGAGCAGACCATAATCCAGTGACAGTTACTTGGAAAGGATATAAGAAGAGATCCAGATGGACCTTAAATAATACTGATATTAAAAGAAAAAGACTTTAAACAGAAGATAGAGAAAGAACTTGCTTTCTTTTTTAAAGAAAATAGAAAAGAAGATACATCTCTATAGAACCTCTGGGACACGATGAAGGCCTACACAAGAGGCTTAAAAATAGACTATACAAGGAAAAGAAATATAAAACAGAAAAAGACTTTCAAAATATTGGAGGATGATTATAAAAAATTGTAAAAAGATTTACAGAAGTCCCCGCAAAAAAGACACTAAAAATAAAATGGATATAATTAAACATAAAATGGGACTAATGGAGAAAGAGGAATTAGCACAAAAAATTAAAAATGCTAAACAGAATTACTTTGAAGATGCAAATAAACCAGGTAGATGGCTAGCCTATAAACTGAGAAAGGAGAGAGAATCAAGAAGGATTAGCCAACTAATAAATGAAGAAGGACATGCTTGCTATGGAAATGAGGAGAAGAAAAAAATTACACAAGATTACTATGGGAAATTGTATTTTCAAGAGAATATTCAAGAAGAAAAAGTTAAGCAATATTTGCAGAAAGCGAATTTACCCCAGATACCTAAAGATACTGAAACAATGCTAGAAGGGAATATAACAATGATGGAACTAACAGAAGCCTTAAAAAAACAGAATATTGGAAAAGCACCAGGTCCAGATGGCTTACCAGCGGAATTTTACAAGACTTTCCAGGAAATATTGAATCTTCACCTATTAGAAGTAAAGAATGTAGTTATGTTAAAAAAAGGAATACCCAAAACATGGACAGAAGCATATATTACACTTATACCGAAGGAGGATACAGACCTGCAGCAAGTTAAAAATTACAGATCTATATCCCAATCAAATTCAGGCTATAAAATTTTTGCTTCAATTTTGGCAAAAAGGCTAACAAGATATTTAAATAACTTTATCCATATTGATCAAAATGGATTCCTGCCAACGAGACAAATCAAAGACAATGTGAGAATTATTTTGGATACTCTGGAATACTATGAGGCATATCCTGAGAAGCAAATGGCTTTGATGTTTTTAGATGCACAAAAAGCCTTTGACAATGTGAGTTGGCAATTTAAGTTATTGCAATTGGAACAAATGGGCTTTGGTAAAAAATTCATTCAAGCCATTGAAATGATATACTATGAACAAACTGCAAAGGGTATAGTAAATGGAGAACTACTGGGTAGCTGCAGCAGTTATATTTGTCAGGAAACTGGGAGCAATGAATTTGTCTACTTTCTAGTTGATTGCCCGTTTGGACATTGACCAAAATTTCAAGCAAGGTAACTTGCGATCTATTTTTATTTCTCGATTTCTGAAGTTGGATCATTCTAACAGAAACGCCACAGAACAAACTTTTCACTCCTGAAGCCATTCATACCAGAGCCATTTGGTAGGCAAAGACTCCACATGTGTGTAAACTTACAAGCATGCATACTCATGTGCAGTTGAATCCACACAGTCAGTCAATAGGTGAACAGTAGCAGCTATGCACTCACTTTACATGAGCTCTATGTATAAGGTAGCACGTAGTAGCATTGATAAATCCCGGTGAACATAACCAGTTCATCCTTAAAAGGATTACATTTCTCCTGCATATCACAACTCATCATTTGTGACTGTGATCTCAAATGAGATTATCTCATTTAAGAGGGATAGAGTTTATTGTGGAAACCAGCCAAACCTGTAAGCTCAGGTAAAGAGATGCTTTGTAACCCACTAATATTTTTCCTCCTATTCAGTTGCAGTAGGATATAAATGCAATAAATGAATAAAATTATAATCCTGCCTTAAAGCAGACAGGGACTAATCAAGAACCTTAATGCATAGAAGTAAATTAAGTTCATCTCATCTCCCTGCTCAGTCTAGACCTGAGCAATAAATGCGAGGTTGTGCTCAAAACATTGCAGTCAGTTGTCTCAGAACAATCAATACATCAGTTTTTCCCCATATTACATAAGGGGGATTTTCATATCAAAACTGGACCAGAAACTCCATAGAAATGTATCTAGAAAATAAAGATTTGTTTCAGGCATCATACTCTTGCATCTTCTCTGAAGTCCCATATCTACTATTCTTCCTTTTAATAATTTCATCTCATCTTCTGCTTTCACAGCTGGTGAATACATATTAATCTTACCTTTCAGTCTGTTCTTTCTTTTGCATCATGAAATAATAGCTATAGCCCAAGATAGGATAGCTGGAAGTAAAGTTAGGAAATAATAAATCTTTATATAATCTTGCGTCTTCCACATTAAAGTGATAAAACTGGTTTGTTGTTTGTTTCTCCTAGGTTACAGAGGAGCAAAGGGACCAGGGTGTGTCTTTAAGCTGCTGGTTGCCACACACATTCAGATTTATGGGGCCTTTTTTTCCTAGCTATCAAACGCATACCTTAATTAAAGATGAATAAATATTCACTGTTAACTTTAAAATAGTTATAAAACTTTAAAATAGTTATAATGCAGCCTTGCTGCATAATAGCTTATATTAGTTTTTTTAGGGGTCAGCCAAAAAAATTTACAGCTCCAGATTTTAATAAAATGTTTGCAGGCTAGATGAACTGATCTTTTAAAGAAAAAATTAGAACTTCCTAATATTATTTTCATCAAAGATAATTAAGTGGTATATGCTATTTTTCTGTTCTTGCCCAGAGAAATGGTTGAGCAGGAAATTTAGTGTGAAGACTATGTTCTAATGACATAGATCTTGAAAGCAAAACAACTGCATTGATCAACAACCCATTTACCAAGATCTGATTCAACTATGTATGTTCAGCTTTATTCTACCTTCTACAGTGCAACGTTTTGCCCCAAAAGATTAACATATTGGAAGAAAAAAACCCCAAACATGTATAGTGAGACCAATAAGAACGTAACACTCTTTTGTCATCTTTTGGTGGATCCTAACAGATATTATCCCAGTGTACAGTTTGGATTTTTCTTCCATGGATCAACAAAGTTATGTTTTTATTTTGTATATTGAAAGATGCATATGTATAGTCAAAAGTTCTGCAAGGGCAGCATTTGTGCCAAATATTCATGACTGACCAACTTCAGGGCTTTGATGTTTGATCTACAATGATGCTGTGCCGTCCTACAGCTTACAAGTATTGATGAATTCTGGGACTTGAAGTCCTCCAGACTTAAAGTTGCCAAGGTTGGAGACCCCATCTAATTGCTAACTGAAAATTAAATGCTCTAAGTCCCTAATTAAATCAGCATAAACGGATTATTCTTGTAAACAATACACAACCCTGAAAGCCTTACGCATTCCAATGTTTATGTTGCTTATTTGTATTGGATCACATAGACCGCATGTCGCTGTAGGGCATCGGTAATAAAGACCTGACAGGAGCCGACACTGGGCAGGACCTGTCGATCGGAGTAGGCGTGGTCAAGCTGTCCCTACCCCCGCCGCGCCTATGAAGTCTCACGTGTAGCCTTTCATTCATTTATGTGCACGAGCAAAACAACCATCAATGTAAACTCGCAGGTGGCTATCCCACGCATATAGATAGATACGCGGTCACTCATTCAGGAACGCGTTAAAGGAGAGGACGTATGGAGAGAGAGCGGCCAGCCCCTTTCTTACGCCGGCAAAAACCGGAAGAATCTTGGCTTACTCTTGGTTCCTCTCCGGTTTTGAGACTCCGGCCTAAGATTTCCTAAGGGTCCGGATCAGGAGTTGTAGCGTGAGAAACCGCCGCGAATCCTCCTCAGCCAGGCCCGGGCGGGTTGCCAGCCCGGTTTCCAAGGATCACATGAGCAGCTCTTATCTTTCTAATTGGTTCCTTCGTGGGCCGACGCCTCCGGCGGATCGCAGCCTTGTCGCCGCTGAGGAGTTACGGCCGCCGAGTAAAGCGGGGTCGACGCGCGATGGCCGAGACCTCCGGGAATCCGCCGCGCATTCTCTGCCTCTTTGACGTGGATGGGACCCTCACCCCGCCTCGGCAGGTAAGGCGATCGGGAACCCTCGCCTTCATCCCGCCCACTTTCGCGATCGTCCTCCGCTCGTCCTTGAACACCTTTGCCGAATGAATGGGGACCGGGGGGATCGCGGCAGCCTGGGCGGGCGCCTGAAGCGTACCGCAGAGTAGTGGAGCTACCTGAATCCGAGCCTAAACCTGGGAGCGCCAGGCGAGCCCAGCGGGGAAAAAAGCGACGCTTCTCTTGCCTCGTTCCCGCCCTTTGAAGCTCTGGTTGTGAGAGACGTGATCTGGAAGTTCAGTTGTCCTCATAGGTGGGGCGAGGGGAGGAGGAGAAGCTGCAGATTGCCCAGGGTGGGCTTTTTAAAATATTTCCATTCGGGGCCGATTATGTAAGAGATGTGAAGAGGACAAGCGGCTCAGTTGGGGGAGATTAAATCCAGAATGTTTTGCAGTACTAGAGCAAAAGCTCCCAATTGAGCCCCCAATTGAGCCTAGGGAGCACTTACCACAGGATTGGCTTAGATACAACTAACAGCGCTGATGTCTTCCAAAATTGAAGTGCCCCATCACTCCAGCGTCATCCAGAAACAATGTAACCTAGGATATAATAGCAGTCCTCAACTTACCATTGCAATTGGGCCCAATGTTGCTAAGCAAGACAGTTAAGTGAGTTTTGCCCCACTTTACAACCTTTCTTGCTACAGTTGTTAAGTGAATCACTGCAGTTGTTAAAGTAGTAACCAGTTGTTTAGTGAATCTGTCTTCCTCATTGACTTTGCTTATCAGAAGGTCCCAAAAGGTGATCACATGACCTTAGAACACTGCAATAGTCATAAATAGGAACCAGTTGCCAAGCATCCAAATTTTGATCAAGTGACCATGGGGATGCTGCAACAGTTGTGGGAAAACAGTCATCAGTCATTTTTTTCCTGTGCCATTGTAATTTCATAGTCACTAAAGAAAAAGTTGTAAGTTGAGGACTACCTGTAGTGAGTGCAAGTGCAACACATTTGGAGGTACTATAATGGGCTGACCCTAATACTTAGGTACATTCATTCTAAGTATTGCATGGAGATTTATACCCATTACTAGACAATCCAAAACTATCGGGTCATCGTTTCACAGTATTTCCTTATCTAAACAGAAAAACCAAATAACAAAACATGCAGGCAAAATATTAGTGGGAGTGGAAGCTACTTGCAATTTCCTGTCAGTCTCCCCATTGAGTTTCCTGTGGGAAGCTTGCAGTGAGCATTGGAACTCTTCCTTCTCCCTCTCTCCCTATTCCTTACTTCCTTCCCCTTTCCTTCTTCTCACCCTTCCTTTATTCCCTCCTGGAAGGGACTATCGAGCTTATTCAGTGTGTCATTCTTCTTTCATCCATTTCTTTGCTGGATTGATATCCTGATTAAAATACCAAGAAGGTCATTTTGTTGCATTAGGTCTAAATGTAATTTTCCAATTAGGTCAAATCATGAAAAACAAACCACTTGGACAAATAAAATAATATCTTGCCCTTTATCAAGATGATCAGCACATCACTACACCAACCATCATTTAGAAAGAAAATAATACTCACCACTAAACTTATTATTCCGTAATCCCTCTAAAGTCCAAAAAGCCAAAATAATTGCCCTGAAGCAAAAAAAAAAAAACATGACAGAATAGTAAATGAGACCTAGCTAAGACAGCAGCGTCTGTTGTTGTTTATAAATGAAAGACCAAGTAGTTTTCACTGGTTAAGAATGAGGTAGAAGAGATATGAGCAGAAGGAAAAATTGTCCATACATTTCCAACTTCCCTTCCCTGAACTATCCAAAGCTCTTACACTTTATTGCTCTCCCACCATTTCTAGATAAGGATTTTCAAGCAATATGGTTTGGGTTGGGTTTTTTCCTAGTGATTACAATTCATCTGGTGATTTTAAACATCAGTTGCCCTGGTTTATGAATGCTTATTCCGTCATGATGGATTGATTCAATTTTAATATACACAGAATCGATGTGCATGTGTCTGTTGCATAATATCAGCATGCTGCTATCTATAGCTTTTCTATAAGAATCTCTTTTTCTCTGTTTCCTTTAGAAAATTGAGCCTGAAATAGCAGAATTTCTTCAAGAGCTGAGTAAAAGAGTGATGATTGGGGTGGTTGGAGGCTCAGACTACTCCAAAATAGCAGAACAGCTTGGAGAAGGGGATGAAGGTAAGTAAGGTGTCTTTCTTTTGTCTCACTTAATTTTTATATTACAGAATTTTTATTATTGTTTGGACATTGTTGAATGGCTGCATATTAGTGTCAAATCAGGTTAGTGAACCATAATTCAAACAAAATGGAAACTTGTGGCAAATTCTATAGCAAGGCTGCTCTAAGTATCCTGGACAAGTTATTACTTTTAATGTAAAGATTATTTAAGAATTTCAGCCAAAAGACTGGCCATTCCTTCCTATGCAAATGCTTTAAAGTCACAGAACAAAGCAGGAAAATCAAGTTTTAAGGCTATCGGGCCTAGGAGCAGCCTTGTAAGAGGTATTCCTATACTCTTTCCTTGAACTTATGTGGCAAGCTCTAAATATAAATGTACAGTTCTGCATACATAACCAGGAAACTCAGGTGAAAAAAATCAAGGATAGAAACACTCCAGAATGCAGGTAACGTAGGAAACAACAGAAATTTGCAATGTAAATTTTTACAGACTAAAGTAACTTTAAGAACAGAGAAAGAAATCATGAGTTTTATTTTTGTAACAAGCAATCAATCCCTCACCTGTAGCCTGCAACATTCTAAGTGAGGTTGAAAAAATATTAATATTCAACTCTGGAAGGAAAAAAGGGTTCTAAGGCACAGTTATAAAAAATAATAATAGATTGTATAGAGATGGACAGGCTAACAATGAAAATAAAAGACAGAGAAGATTCAATTTATTATAGGGCCTGGGATGAGTGGTTTAGAAATAAAAAGAAAAAAAATGGCAATTAGGAAAAGAATGGGGGAATATGTAAATATGTAAATATACCATGGAGAAGATTGATATGTAAGGATAAAAGATATTGATTTATAGCAAGAGTAAGATGTAATGGTAAAGAAATATACTGAAAAATGTGAGGAGATGCAAAAGATATCTTGATGTTGATAACAATGTATAAAGTTTTATTTTATGTTTTTAAAATTTGAAAAATTAAAATCTATTTTTAAAAAGAAAAATATTAATATTCCATGCTTACATAAATTTGCATGAAAAGGGCATACGTTTTCCAGCGCAAGATTCCTGATACACCATTAAGTTAGTGGAATTTCACTGTATGCTTTCAGTTTAAGCTAGATCCAATGCAATTTAAAAAAATGGAACAGTTATTACATATCCCTGTGTTCCTGCGTGTTAGTCATTATGTTTTGTCAGTAACAAAAACAGTGCAATACCAGATTCTGAATCCTTCCTTCCAAGGAAAGGTGGAGAACTCCGGGTTTAAAGGGATATACTGCTGTCTGCCATTTTAACACTCCTAAAATTATTAATGAGCATCACCATTTACACAGCTTTTTTAGAGAAGCAGCACAAATAGAATTCAACTAATTCATCCATCTTGGCCTCTAGCCATCTGAATGATGAAAAGAGTTGCATTAATATTTGACTGATTTCTCTCCCACTGATTTTTTTTTCTCAATTTCTCTACTCTTCCAACAACCATTTCCAACAGTCATAAACAAGTTTGATTACGTCTTTGCAGAAAATGGCACTGTGCAATACAAGAATGGGCAACTAGTCTCAAAGCAGGTAGGGCTAGCCTCTTTGTGTTTCTCCATTGACCATTACAAATATTTTCCTGCCATTTCTTTTCACATGAAATCACTCACAGGGAGAAGGCTATATTCAAAACCCCTTCAACTCATCTGGCTTCATCTAGGAATCTGAAATAAAGAATAATCTTATTTTAAAAAAGAGAATGGATATTTTTGTTGCCTAACTATTGTTTGCACCAACCCTCACTGGTGCTTATAGTGACTTAGTTTGCCAGGAATTGAAACTCAGTGAACTCTGGAGGACCACTGGTTGCATACCCTTTTAATAAACCTCCAAAAGGAAAGCAAAATACCTGAAAAACATTGCTTCATAATGTAATATTTCAGATATATGGTTGAACATTATAAGTTATTTTCTTTTCAACACATTAAAATATATATTCAATAAGACAGCATTTTCTGATCCACCATCTGCTAAATGTGTTGTAACTCTTAGAAATGGCTGGGATTGCTGAAAATTATGGTCCTAATTGGATTTTGAGGAAACCTAGTCAAAGGAGGCTGTTTTAAGATCATTATTTTCCCTTCAGTCCTCTTCATCCAGATATGACAATCTAGAAATGTCGTTGATTTTAGTACTGCTGCAGAAGGTAAACTTGTTTCTTGTGTCTTACATGATAAAATAAAATTCATTGAGCAACATTTTAAGATTTCACCTACCTTGATTTCTACTCCTTTTGGCAAAGGCCTCCTTTGTTTCTAATTAACATACAATGTAGTAAAACCATCTGCTGTCTTCTGCTATCCATATCAAGGATTTTTATCAATTGTATCCTTTGTTGAATAGGCTATCCAGAACCATCTTGGAGAGGAACTTTTGCAAGAACTGATCAACTTCTGCCTTAATTACATGGCACTTCTAAAGTTGCCCAAGAAACGGTAATGTACTTTCCTTATATTGATATATGAGGATTCTATTCTACCATATATTGTGTGGAATTTGGATCACAGGTAAAGAAAGAAATACCCAGCTTTCTTTTCCCAGACAAGGAACAATTTTGTCCAAGCATAAAGTTTTCCCCATGTTATTTAACCATTTTGTTGGAATTTGTAACACATCATCACAAAATCTCCAGAACCATAAAGCTCTCAAACTTGAAATTTGACACGTGTGTTCCTCTTGGCTTCTAGGTGCTCACTAAGAAAGGATTTTTCAAGATGACCATCAAAGCATTATAATTTTGTATATTATTATTAACATGCTCTGATGCTAACGAGTTCTACTCCCCCTCCCCATCTGAAAAGAAAGCTGTTCCAAATGCAAAACACAAGCAGAGGAGTTTCAGTTTCACAGCAGCAACCAGTTTTAGTACAGAACAGTTGAGCTAAGCCACGCCCAGGCTTCTTCTGGTCTCCTTGCTCACATAGCAAATACTGTTTCAGTTTCCAAACAGTCCTCAACACACACACACTGACAGGACACTAGCCAAATGAATACTGATGCATGCTTGTAGGCAGAGGCAGAATTTCCCCTCCTTATTTTCCTCCCCCAAAACTTGCCCAATCAGTGTTTCGTAGCAAAGCACGCATACCCTACTAGTTTGAAAATAGTCACACTATTTTCTCAAAATTAAGCCATTTCAGCTAATTGTTTTGGGTGTATTTGTCATATTCAGCCTTCTATAGGAGGCTGCTGAGATACAAGAAGGCATTATCTTAAAAGTAGGTGTTGAGATATTTCAGTTTGCCTTGATAGGCAACTGCTTTTTAAGCATGGGAATAGGAACAGAAGAACCTTCAATCTGCCTGGATCCTAAAAAAAAACAAACAGCTGAAAGTCTTTTTTTTAAGGAAATTTTGTACTGTGTTTGAGATTGGGGATTGGGATTAAGAGTAAATTTGAAGTAATGGGAAGAGAATAGAAATAAGGTGTAGTTGCCCTTCCAAAAATTTCCTGCTCCTATTCCTATACTTAATTTGTATTTTAAAAATTCAATTCATGAAATAAAATCACTCAATTAAAAAGTCAGTATCACTGAAATGGAACTATTTTAACACTGAATTGTAGCAACCCAAATTGAAATAATAGGAATCTTCAAATAGGCTCTTGTAGAGGCTACATGCCCTCTTTAAGATAGACATTGCATACCTTTGCATCCACCCCAGGGCATTTTGAGCCTCTGTAACAGTACCTTATATCCTTCCTACCTTATATTCTTCTTTCTTCTCCAAATATACAAAGGGGAACATTCATAGAATTTCGCAATGGAATGTTGAACATCTCTCCCATTGGTCGAAGCTGCAGCTTGGAAGAACGAATAGAATTTTCTGAACTGGACAAGGTAAATACGAGCATTAGACTGCCCAATGCATTATCAGTGGGAATGTTTTAATTATGATATATAATTGCTTTAGGATTCCAGTGATATTTTAGGTCAGGGTGTATGTAAATCTTTTATTTAGTTTTTATGAACAGGACGTACTATGCGTGGAATCTGTAATTATCTCTTTCCACTGCTTTTTGTGGAGAAAAAAATGGAATCTGATAAATAAAAATAACTGAAGTGTCTCTTTTCATGCTTCTGGTTGCCTCCATTATAGAAAGAAAAGATACGAGAGAAGTTTGTAGCAGCTCTGCAAAGGGAGTTTGCAGGGAAGGGACTGCGATTTTCCCGAGGTGAGTATAAGAAATTTTGGATGCTTTTTAGTGCATTTTATTTTGAGTGGAATATGGCACATAAAAACCAAATTCTATTTAAAGCAGACATGTGGTGAATATAAAGTGATGTGTGACCGAAAGGAAGTTAAGTATAATTTTAGTTTGTATCAACTGATGTTTCCAAATCATAGGAAATAATGCCTATACTTTGTTCAGACTCCATTCCTGTATTGCTTTGGCACCACATTTTAAAAACACTTTGAAGAAAGGCAATGGAGATGTCGAAGGCCAGTGGAGATTATTGATAGATGGAGATGACGGAAATTGAGCCTTATGAAGAGAGATTGAAGTTAGCAGGACATATATAGCCTTGAGCAGGGAAGACTGAGAGGAAATATGACAGCATTCTTCAAAAAGGTGAAACGATATCCCAAAAAATGCCAAGACATTCTTGGAATGAAGGAAGAGTTATTACTCAGGTAGATTTCTCATATAAATGCAGCTTTGCCCAGCTTGAACTTCTATATATCATTTTTTTCATTTGACCAAATTTCTTCCTGTGGTTCTAGCAGGACACGGTGTTCCTTATGGCGATGGTGGCAGCTCCTGGCATTTCTGCTGCCAACATGCCAGACTTATTTAGGAAAAACTATTGGGCTACCAATGTGGCATGATGATATTCAAAGCACTCGTAAAGGTGGTCCCTGTAGTGTTAGGGTTAAACTGAATTATATGACACATCTGCTAGGTCCCATCTATGTTAATTAGCTTCAGGCCACTCAGAGTTACCATGTGGCTAATAAATTTTACAAATAAATGATAAACATAGGGTTTATGATAAACGTTAGTGTTTCTTGTAGTCCAGTTACACCAGAGCATGATAAAAGAATCCTTTCCCCCATCAGCCATATTGTCAAGCATATTTTCACATATTTTTCTGAAATGTATTTGAACTCTGCACATCATCTGCACTCGAGGGCCCACCACTAATGACAATTAATCTCATTGCTATGGAAATATCAACTCTAACATTCATGTTTCTGGGAATCAGGCTGACACAGCAGCGCAGATCCATGTGTCATGTTAAAAAAAATATTTGCACAAAGACACAGTGTGTTATGCCAGAGATAGCAAAGGAAAGATTTTACTCTCCCAAAAAATCTCATCTCATTTTCACTAAATTTTCTCTAAATCTTAACAGGTGGTATGATTAGTTTTGACGTTTTTCCAGAGGGCTGGGACAAACGTTATTGCCTCAACATCCTTGAGGATGAAAAATTTGATGTCATACATTTCTTTGGAAATGAGACTACCCCTGTAAGTATATGATAAGAAACCATCTTTTTGACAAGAGCCCAATATGTGTACGATTGAGGAAAATGCTTCCCATGTTCTTATCAGAGTAAGCCCTTATCAGAGCCCAGTTATCACTATGGCTCCTTTGTGATCTTCAAAGTGTAATTTCAATTTGAAAATATCAGTAGGCATATTTAAGAGCCTCAGACATTGACTATTTACACATTGAGGAGTTCTTACAAATGCTTCTCTGATCAGAATTTCCAGTGAGCAAAAGCCTTGTTTGTACAACAAAGCCAGCTTGTATCAAGAGCTTGCAAGTCATGCAGACCCACAGCCCAAGATATGTTCTGGCAGTTCAGTCGTTCTTTTCCATGGACTGTTTTAGCCAAACATGAAAGAGGGAATATTTTGAGACTAACCTGCTTTTTTGGAGATGAGATTAGAATCGCTGCAAAAAGGATTCTTCAGTAGGTTTTTATTTCTTTTTTTGTTAGCTCTTCCATGGGCTTGCATGAAATGGAGACAGAAGAGCTGTCCATCAGGAGACAGCAAACCTTTCCTGGCTCTTGCTAGGCTTTGAGGAAGCCAGCCATGTACAGGTAGCAGGTTTCCCAAAAGCCTAACGGGAGCTAAGAGAAGTTTGTAGTCTCCTAATGACCAGAAACTTCTGAAAGCAGTTGTCATTTCTGCAAGGAATTGGTGTGCTGAAAATAGCAGCTCTTCCAGGATGCTTGGGGAGCAAGCCCAAGCACTTCAGGAGCCCAGTGGGGCAGCATTGGGGGGGGGGGGGGGGTAGAGAGATGGCAAGGTGTTGCAGTTTACCTGCGGTCGATCTGAAACCAAATGACATGGAGATGCTGCAGATGTCGTAACTTAAGAACAGGGTCGTATGTAGCTTTGGGGGGGAAGGTGTCTATCATAACTTCAAACAGATGTTATGTGACCAGTCATAGTGCATTTTTTAAAAATCACTAACTTTGAGGTGTGAGTAAGGCCCTTTTTCCATCTATGAAAATTAAGACTTCCTTGTTGCAAATTTTATTCTTGCTTAAATCAGTTCTCAAGCCCCTTTGTATCCTTTCTCAATTAATGGATTTTTAGATGAACTATAATTTCCCAGGGAACTGATACATCCAGATTGGCATGGGCTAATTTAAGTGGAGCCAGATACCCTGTCTTGGTGGAGGCAGGATTGGATGCATGGTTTTTCCGTAATTGATATCATAGCATTTCCAGCCTCATGAACTTAAAAATCATAAAGCAGAAGAAATAATATTCTTTATGTCCTTAGGGTGGGAATGATTATGAAATCTATGATGATCCTCGGACAGTAGGACATAGTATCCACTCTCCCCAGGACACAGTTCGGCGATGTCGAGAGATATTCTTTCCAGAAACAGTGAATAAATCTTGACTCACAGATCTTCTGCTGCTATTCTTCTTGTTCACTTCATAAAGGCACCTTTTGAATTATAATCAAGGCTTGCACTTTGGAAATGGAGGTGAAGTGTGAAAAGGAAAAGAGAGTTAAAGTGCCATCAACAGTTGGTAGTAGTAAGAATCTACAGATCACTGCCTGCCATATTTCATCCTTCCAGCTCCTAAAACGTTCCATTTTAAAGGGAGCTGTGTCGTTTTCCTAAAACCGTGTGAGAGAAGGAAAGAAATAGAAAGCTGGTAATCTCTTCATATATTCACCCAAATCAATTTCTGAGATTAAAATAATAGTATTAATAGGTTAAAGGCAAAACAACCTGATCTTTCAAACTATTTTCATATTTTTGAACCCTTAAGATGGCCTGCTATTTTTTAAAATTGGAACCAGGTCCTTTTTTTAAGCTAATAATGAATAGGGAAAACATCCCCAATCCATTACTAGCCATGCAGAATGTGGAGGGAATAGGAAGTAAACTTTGAAACACAGATCCGATTGAAAGTGATTAGTCATAGACATCACCATTCTACTCAGCTTTCACTATCCATTAGAATATTCTTCTGTGGCTCCTGATCTAATATGTGAAACCATCTGTTTAAAATATGACTTTGGTGCTCAGGTTTATTTTATCATAGATAATATATTTTTGGTCCAATAAAAGTAGAGTTTGTGTATTGACATCTTTGACACATCTTCGTAGCCTTGCATATTGCAACTGCACTTTCCCACAATTAGGGGAGCAACCCTTGCTTTAGCTTCAGTTGTTACTGTTTACTTGCACTTTCTTCCCATTGCCCAATCAGTCTGACTCTTCAAGCAGGATTGTACTTTATCACCTTAATTATCCAACCTAACTATATAAATGCTGGCAATAGCATTTATATCTACTAATCAGATTAATGGAATAAAAATGGGAGGCAAACATATCTTAAATCTATTTATAGAGGAGTGAAATAAATTTGCAGAAATGTCAGGACTACCAATTTTCATGTATGTATGTATGTATGTATGTATGTATGTGTTCTGTCAGTAATGCATTATAATTAAAAATATTAATATCTTTACAAATAATTGTGTACCAACTTGAAATTAAATGAAAAAAATGAAAAACAGCTTCAAAATATTTCAGTATTTTACGATGAATTGCAATGGTTAAGATGAAAATTCTTGCACAGCTTACCTTTTTATTTCAGTTCTTCCTAGTGGTAACTCCTAAATAGGCTTTAAGACATAGGCAAAAAAAAAAACCAATAGAAAGCTTCTATTGCAATTTACAAAAACTAAGAGTAAGTAAAGTTACTTACAGAGATCTCAAAAACGGAGATTCGGTCATGCCCAATTTGTCAACACATTATCAAGCATTGCAACTAAGGCATATGATTCCATTTATTCTGGGAGACTCATATAAACAATGAAATCATTTTGAAACTACTTTAGAACCAAATAAGTTTATAAATCAATGCCTTTTTATCCAAAATATTTTTCTAGAATAAAACAGATTGAAAATATTTTTTACTAAAACAATCAACTCAAATTTCTTTTGGGTGATAGAAATATTAGAGATCTAGCAACATGACCCAATACCCATTTTGAGAATTTATCATTTAAAATGGCCAAAAACTATTTCAAAAATGTATTGGCTGTGATTGCAATCAGAAATAGAAGATCCATTATATATTTTAAAGGAAGCTTGGGATACTGATCTTAGTAATCCTATACAGAGACAAATTGGCAGGAGTTCTGGAAAGACGGAAGATTCACTTCAGCTTCAATGCAAAAAATACAATGGAAGATAATTGGATTGTTGTACAATCCCAGTGTCATTTCCCATGAGATAGGTGACATGTAAATTTGATTGATTGGCTGAAAAATGAAACAAAACATAATATTGTTGGCCCTTTATTCCTGATTCATACTGGATATAATAAAATTATTCCAAATTTTGGAGAAGGTGTTCAAAAGTCATTTTCTTCATTTGTTGTGATCATGCAATAAAGTTATGAAATGGATGCCCTCAGCTATAGTACTTTCATAGAACCGTGGCACTAATCCAGAGACTTGAAAGCAGGCATTTCAGCACATGCTTCTTTCTTCATAAATAGTGCTATAATGCAATTAGAGGCATCTAAAGAAATAAAAAGATGAGAGGCTGGTATTATTAATGAAATGAAATTAACGCATTCTTTTCTGAGATGCTGAGGCTTTTGCTTTAAAATAAATATTACCAGCTCTTCTTAGGTTAGTTTCCATTCCTTTTTCACGAGGGTTATGAAATACTTAATACAGGGACCTATTTATTACTGTGAAAGCCACAAAGTGGTCTATTTCTCAGATGGATCAAAAAACAGACTCCCACTTTATTAAGCAGGAATGTTTATTTTGATGCCATGTATGTTAAAGAAACCCAACTATTTTGATGTAGCTACAGATTTGTGGGGCTTTGTTGACAGGCAGCTTTTATATCATTATAAAGTATGACATTAATAAAATTGAGTTAAAAATGAGACCCTACTATTGTCAAGTGTCTGTTTTGTAGTTCATATTTGTAACTTAATATAAAATTAAAAGTGAAAACATACCACAGTAGGAAATCAATAAGCAATATGACTTCACATTGGTTCATTAAAATTTAAGCTAAAAATACTGTCTTTGGAACTGAATGGTTTGTAATATGTTAAAGTATGTATGATTTATTATCCTCAGCTTAGAAATGTTAGATACTACCTGATAAAAATCATAAGTTTCATAAAAGTCGCTGGTAAAATCCATTAACAGGAACACTTACAAACTTCAAAGTAGCAGGGAGTAAGAGAAAGCGCCTCATTTAAACCTAGGAAAGCTACTATTAATACTGGGCTAGATGGTTCAGTGATCTGACTTCACCGTAAAGTAATCTGAATTCATTGCTGAGTAAAACTGCAACATTCCAGAAGTTGTTCAATGCCAATTCATTACTTTTAAACAGCACAGCCAAAAGCATACAGTGAAAAGAGCTGCAGTCTACCAATGACTAGAGTGCAAAAACTGCTCATCTTAAATGTACGGCCTGCACTATGCTGCTAATCAAATAATAGTTTCCAGCAGATTAGTATACTTCATCTCTGCATCACAAATCCTCAGAACAGCTACCCCGTTCCCTTTACTCAATATCCTTAGACATTGTCATTTCAAAAGACCATTGTGAAATGAAAAAAAATCAGAACAGGGAAGACTCTTGGAAAGTCACTTTAATGATTTATTGCCAGTGTTACAAAGATCAACATGGGATTAAAGAGGCAAGAACCACACAAAAAGTTGTTAGAACACAGACACATTATAGATAACAAGGTTATTTCAGAAAGAATTAAAAGCTTTCTCAGAGAGAAGTCACAGTTTTGTGGCACTCCCAATGGTATTGCACCATCAAGGAGGGAGATAAGAAGTTGCTGGTGTTACATGTGTGCAGGAAGTTCCTCTGACTGTCTCATACAGCAAAAGGAAAGTGGCTGCCTTCAGATCCTCACTTCATTGGACTTAAAAGCAACTGCTGCATCTCATGGAAAAGTCCAGAAAAAAATCTCCCTTTATTATCTACATACAGATAAACGATGATTTCAAAATCACTATACTCTATTGTCTCCTGCATGTATGGAGTTTTCTTTCAAAATAGACCATTAGGAATGTTTTATTTGGATTTTTAATTGAAGGAGGCGGAATATTCGTATCATTTGTTACTGACATAATGAGGACATTTCAGGAACAGGAACAATAATGTCCCGCAGAATGATCTTAACCAACCTTTTTATAGCTTTGCTCGGAAAGAACTCATTTTTTATCTCTTATATCAGTTATAATAAATCCATACAGAAACTTCTTGGAATAGGTTAATTAGCAGCATATTGGGAACAGAGGGGGAATGTTAGGGTACCATTTTAAGTTGCCTATATGAAGAAACAAACTCAGGAAGAACTAGGCTAGAACTTTTCTTAAAGTTGCACTCCATTTCTACCATATCGGGTTTATAGGAGAATATTTTTAAAACTCAGCTGTAGCAATAGCAATAGCACTTAGACTTATATACCACTTCACGGTGCTTTACATCCCTAAGCGATTTACAGAGTCAGCATATTTCTCCCAACAATCTGCACCTGCATTTTACCTACCTCGGATGGATGGAAGGCTGAGTCAAACTTGAGTCTGGCAAGGTTTGAACTGCCAAATTGCAGGCAGCCAACAGTCAGCAGAAGTAGCCTGCAGTACTGCACTCTAACCACCGCAGCACAGACTTTCTGTAGTGTAACATCCATCCAAGAAAGAATTGTATGAAAGCCTTCTCTACCTTGGCACCCTCCAAGTGTATTGAAATGGCAGTTCTCAGAATTTCCTCAAAATATGGCTTTCCAGGAGTTGTAGCCCTAGCAAATCAGAAGGGAACTAAGTTGGGAAAGGTTGCATTATACCAATGTTCTTCAAACTTGGCAACTTTAACATATGGACTTCAGGTCCCAGAATTCCCCAGACTGGCTATGGAAATTTGGGGTGTGAACTACATGTTAGAGTTGCCAAGTTTGAAAAACATTGGCATCCTTATAGCTAATTCTGGCATAATTTGGAAGTCCCCAAGTCCTTATAGCTATGAGGGATTTTCCTTTAATCTTTTGGGTTGAAATATAGAGTGGAATTCAATGCCCTCTGGCTACCTTACATGAAATTTACCATAAATTTAGGTTGGCAGTATACTGTAGAATTAAACTTTCTAAGTGGGGTGTCCCCCTTGAAAACTAAATATGAACATTAGGCTATTTTCTATTTCTATGTCTACTTCTACAGAGCAACAGCCTATCCTGAACCCTCCGTCTCACCCTACACCTAAGTGCAAGTTTGTAAAAGATCGAAGGGGCTAAACTCCCACAAATAGGAACAGTAAAATTATATTGGACACACACACACACACACACACACACTCATTAAGGACACTGGAAATACATCCCAAATACAAAAAGCATATATTTTATAGACACCAGATTTATTCCAGCATACTGCAGTATCATTATGCTATAGGCTCTATTTTCAGACTTCCTCATCTCATTCAAGAGAGCTTCACTAAATGCTCATCTCTCACATTCTTACTTACTTCATTTATTTAAAAGTACCCACTAAGTGTAATTCCTAGAAGAATAGTGCTTGCTTCCATGCATTAATTTAAAAACTTACTATCCATGTACATCTTTTCTCTCCAAGATCATGCAACTTCAGTGTGACATTGCCCATATGCTTTCAACTCTGCAGACCATACAGTTTAGACTGCCTGACAATTCCATGCAAGTTCTGAGAATGTACTGTACATGGTATCCTGGGAAATTCTTCTTAATGCATCTAAATCAATATTGTGCTTTTAAACAAGACCCTGTATATCCTGGGGAATTAAGATGTTGGGGGAAAGACTGGATAGAATTGGAACAACTGAAGGACAATACTACTAGTTACCATTTATTTAATATTACCCATTAATCTTACTTCTGCTGAACATTTCTTTATCTCTTCTACACATAATCCTCATTCTCCAGTCACATAGAGGATAATCATTAAAATGTTGAAGTTTGAAGAACAGAAGGGAGAATGGAAGAATTAGCCTAAACATCCATTCTGAGGAAATTTGTTGTGAAAAATATTTAGAAGTGCAATTACACGCAGATAATACTGAAACCTACATCTGCGAAAGTGTAATAAACAAAGATGCTATTTTTCAATCAGATCTTCATGGCTAGAAACTATCATTCATAAGAGGATCAAACAGATGCTTCCTGGTGATTTTATTTCAGATTTTTCTAACATAATACAGACCAAATGAGTTGAAACTGCACTTTCCAGTAATATCTGGAGACACTATGTTAAGAAGACCATTCTAATCCCTTTAATGTTAATAATAATATAATCTTCTAACAAAGAA